TATATATATATATATATATATATATATATATATATATATATATATATATATTTTGACTTTGTCAGTTTCAAAACATTCATAACCTTAAAAAATCTAGATCCGCCACTGTAATCAGATTCCGCTTTGTCGAATTTCACTGAATATGTTATGTTCAGACTCTATCAAGTTGAATTTGAGATTTTTCAAGAATTTGATAGATGATAAAGAGAATTTCGATTTATGTTCATGTCCAAACACAATTTTAGTTTTTAGATATAAATTTTTATATTTTTTCCAAATTTCACAATGAAACATGACTCAGATAAATGTGGCGATTCGTTCGATGCCTTCTCATGAAAACAGGGGGAAATGACTTACTCTGCAAAATTTAATCCAACAGCTCAAAATGTGCCTATTGGCTTAATTTTGTCTGTCAAAGTCTTAAAAGACAAATGAGATAAAAACACATTATTTGAGATTTTTTATTTTATTTTATTTTTTGCTTTAGCAATTTTGTGTTATTGTGATTTAATGACGATTAAGGTGTAATAATACTGTTTTTTTTTAAATTTTTTTTTTTGAAAGGGTTTGGATTATGCTATTCATGAAGCTGGTAAAAATGGGATTAAGTTAATCTTAAGCTTGGTTAACAACTATAATGACTTTGGAGGAAAGAATCAATATGTAAATTGGGCAAAATCTCAAGGTCAATCCTTAACATCAGATGATGATTTCTACACAAATTCCGTTGTGAAAGGTTACTTCAAAAACCATATTAAGGTATGTTATATTTTTCGATCTTTATTGAACGTTAGTTATTTTGATCCAGTTATTTTATATTGAGCAAAACAAATAGAAACGAAGTGATTATTTTTTTGTGATAATAACAGGCAGTTGTAACAAGAATTAACAGTATAAGTGGAATTGCATACAAAGATGATCCCACAATTATGGCTTGGGAGCTTATGAATGAGCCTAGATGTTCTTCTGACTTATCAGGAAGTACTGTGCAGGTATAATACTTCAATTTCTTTCTTCTTTTTGGTTTACAAAAATAACAATTTTTAATCCCATGCTTTTTTTTAATCTTTTTGTTAATAAGGTGAAAGGAGATAAAAATGGTCACTAGTAAAAGTGACGTGATACATTATTCTTTTGAGTTCGTTTAAAAAAAATACATATTTCTGAATTTGTATTGTACTTTATTGAGAATTTATAACCAAACAAATGTTATTACATGTTTGCCGTCACGAGCTTCAAGAAAACTTTGGTCACACAAATGCTATGACATGTTCTCAATAGTCATTTCAAAATTTAAGTGATTCGATGTATACATGAGTTGATGGATAGAGCTAGAATTCTAGCTATGAGTTCGGATTTAAAATTCTGAATCCGCCATTGACAAAAATATTAAAACATTTACCATTATTATGTGTGTATTGTTCTTCCACATAAATATAACTAACTTTATGCCAAAGTTGAGAATTATTTTCAGCCTCTTATTGTGGGAGTTGGAAGTTGGGTAAACTCTAGTGGAATTTCCTATTTTACATGTGAATAGCTTAGTAGGATTGGGCAATATCCCTACCTACTTTGGCTCTTATTGTAAATTATTATATTAGGTAGTGTGACCATTTTTCCACATAGTAGTACCATAAATTTTGTGACAATGTGTTGTTCTAATGTCAATTTTAAAAATTTTAAATTTTATATAAATAGTTCGAGACGATGACAATAAGTTGCTAAATGCATATTATATAATGTAAATTCAGTGGTGAAAGTAGAGTTCTAGTTGCGAATTTGACAGAATTAATAGCTTTGGTTAAAATTTTATTTTTGTTGGATGAAATGTTTGTATTTACTAATTTTCGCGATTAAGATGAAATAAATTAATCATGATTATACTTATATTACAGAAATGGATTAGTGAAATGGCTTCATATACTAAATCCATAGACAGTAATCACCTAGTAGAAGCTGGATTAGAAGGATTCTATGGAAATTCAGATACTCAGAAGAATCCAAATTTTCAAGTTGGAACAGATTTCATTGCAAATAATCAAATCCCAGAGATTGATTTTGCCACTGTTCACTCATATCCTGATCAATGGTACTTATCAAAAAACCTTTTTTTTTTTGCCAGTTTAATACGATAAAAGTCATTTTTTCCAATTGAAAATGTTTTCTATTAAATCAATTGCTTTAGTTTTAATAACTGCTACCCTTTATTTCGTTTGTCTTACTTTTAATCTGTTTCAGACAAAGACAACCTTTTAATTTCAAATTGAAACGAAGAGAATAATAGTATAACATATTTTGAGTATTATAAATTGACACTGATAACATCTATTTAGTTGTGAAAAATGACTTCTATGGTACCAAATCGTTGCGATTCTTTATGTAGGTTGACAGGTCAAGATGATGAAGCCCAACTTAATTTTCTAACCAATTGGCTCAAAGTTCACATTGAAGACTCACAAACAATTCTCAAAAAGCCTATTATATTTGCTGAGTTTGGCAAAACAACAAAAGGCCCTGGCTTTACTCCACAACAAAGAGATGTAATCTTCAACACTGTTTATTCCTCTATATTTTCATCAGCTAAAGGCGGCGGCGCGGCGGCAGGAGGGTTGTTTTGGCATGTTTTGGCTGAAGGAATGGATTCATTTAAAGATGGATATGAGATAATATTGAGTGAAAGTTCATCTGTTTCTGATATTATTATTCAGCAATCTAAAAGGCTTAATAAGATTAGAAAAATGTATGCAAGGTTGAAGAATATAGAGAAATGGAAGAAAGCAAGGAAATTAAAGGATTAATCATGAGAATTAGAGAGATTTAATTTATGTTAGAGATGAATTAATTTTAAGTTAGCAAGAAGTTAGATAATGTTTTTTCTTTCTTTTTTGGTAATGTACTGCTCGACATGTTGTATGTCAGAGGAAGTATTCTAGTAGTGATTTATTATGCCTTAAAAAATACATCGATTGTATCGATGTATCTAATGTAATTTCATATGATTTTATTTTATGAAATTGAAGAGTTTGTTTATGATAAATTAAGATATTTCAAAACATATTAAAAAAGAAATGTAATAGTAAATAAATAACTTGGATTTGCTTATGGCGGTAAGCATAACATCTCTTCTGTTTATTCAAACCCTTTATTCTTATCAAAAATTATAATCGTATTAAGTTATTATCAATCATGCCTGGTTGAATTAATCTTTCAATAATATGTAAAAAAAACAAAAAACTATTTGGTAAACTCTAGATACAAAGGGAAATGGAGGATATTTGATTTATAATGGCCAATTTGTGTTACACGTCTCGGAGAGGAGAGACCGATAGTCATATTAGTATTGTTTCTCCCGGCGGTTAAGGCTTGAAACTTTCATGTTAGAGGTCTTAAGTTCAAAATCACTTGCCAGAAAAAATAAAGTGTTTGCCTTCTAGGTCGAGCTCGTCGCACCGAGCTTGCCTAGTGCGGGTTATTTCTCCTATATGATTTGCAAACTATTGTATAGGAACGGGAATTTTACCATGTGCCCACCTAAAGACAACGATTACTTAAAAATACAATAATAAAAATGACAAACCTTTTTTCTACTAGGGTAAAATGCTATTTTTACAACAAACAAGTTTTTCTTAAACAATATGCAATACTTTTTATGCAACAAATCAAATTAGTAATAACTAATCCCAAACAACCCTAACGAGTTTAATCCATTTTCGGAAGAGTATTTACATAAATGGGCCTTACCTACTCCTTGGGCTTCAAGTAATAGCCCAAAAGTACCATCAAACAAAACTAGCCCAACTAGAGCCCAATCTAATATACAGCCCAATATCCTCAGATAAGCAATCTAATCTTCTTCAACCCGTTCCTCCTTTTCTCCATCTCTCATTCTTCTTCTGCAAAAATACCAACAATGGCGCTCACTCTCTCCAACACTTTCCTTCAAAAAAATGTCGCTCCTCCTTCATTCTCCTCCAAGAAGGTAACTCCCCAAAATCTCCGTACCCATAAATTTTTTTTTTATATAAAGTATATGATTGTTGAAAATTGAATTTTGCAGATGGGAATTGGGAGCAATCAAATGCGATGGAGCTGCAGGAAGAAGGATATACATCCGCAATTCTACGATGACGCTAAGGTATATTGTAATGGAGAGCATGTGATGACAACTGGGGGAACAAAGAATGAGTACACAGTTGATGTTTGGTCAGGTAATCATCCTTTTTATCAAGGTAGTCGTTCACAGCTACTTCTTGATGCTGACCAGGTAGAGAAATTCAGGAAGAAGTTTAGTGGGTTAACACAGATTATGCAAATTCCAACTCTCAAAGGAGAGATTGTGCTTCCTCCTAAGAAGAAGAAACCTACTAAGAAGAAGTAGACTTTATTGTGTGTTTGTAATTCCCTTAGTTCGTTTGGTAAATGGGGAAATTGTTGGAGAATTAGGGGTTTTGTGTATTTTGTGTTTGTATTTTGATGGTTTCAGTTGTGAACTCAGTCTATTATTTGAAATGGAAGTAAAAAAATTGAGTCTTTGTTCTTCAAATTTTTGGATTTGCTGTTGTTGTTATATGGTTCATCAATTAGTTGGGCTGGTAGAGCATTTAAGTTGAATCCAGTGAATTGTCTTGCTTTCGATTGCCATTATTGCTTCGACTATTGGAATGTAATGAGCCTAATAGAGCTGAATGGATACAAAAAAATTGTGTAAACTTAAAACAGTTTGGATCAGGTGTAGTTCATTGATCATAGTTTACGTTCAATAGTTTCAAATGAGTTGTCTTTCACCCCTTTACCTGATAAACTGAACGAAACTTGTCCGTTTTGCACTATCTTGGTGTAATGTTATACCTGTGATTGGAAAGGCTGATTGTTTCAGGGTTTCAGCCGTCCCTTGAATCCTTGACAAAGTAAAGATGAAATAAAGTCTGTTATAGATTTGGTGTCTTGTCTTTTGTATGGTTGCATTAGCCAAGCGTTCTAATTAGTTGTACTGGTGCTGTGGTGCACTTCCATTCTTGCAGTTTACTGTGTAAAATGCTTTTTGAGAGTTGTCTATCAAGCTGGCTGGTCTCTTCTCATACTAAAAAAGGGAAGGTGCCGGTTTAAAGCAAGTCGCATAGGTTCTTAAGAAAGATTTTTGTTCTTGTAAAGTGAACTCTGCATTCAACTTATTAATCTATGTCTTTATTCCTTTACCCTGCTCTCGTCTTTTTGAGGATTGCATATCAAAACTCTCCTTTCCTGTTGGTCTACTTTATTAATCTATGTCTTTATTCATTTCCCCTGCTATATATTACAGTTGCTTTTACTTTGTTACTTGCATCTGCCTAGAACGTTATACGAAGCTTCCTATTTATCTGGTTTCAATACTGCTACCAATCTATTAATCAAGATTCTTAGCATTGCCACTATCAGATGTCTTTGTGAGCACACATATGTACACTAGAAGATTATCATTGAAGGAGTTTGGGATTGATTATTGTCCAGAAGTATTGAGTTTTCGGTTGATTATTTTATGTTTTTGTCAGTTTTCTACTTCATACACTAAGCCAAGACAAAACCATCCAGGCATCTATATGTTCTCATTTGAAAACCTCTTATTTTCACACTGAATTTATAAGATGATTTATCTAGACTGATCATGGTAAAATGGTCATTCATACTACACTGATTATCTGTTTTTTCTCAAGACTTGTTTCAATGGCTCTCAAATATGTTTAAGATGGATTAACTTTGCTGCTAAGGTTTTAGAGCAACTTCTGAATTCAACAATAGGCTCCAATCTATGTTGCTTAGACTCTTCAAAAAATGCCGACCTGGTGTATTTTTTAAGGATCATACATAGATACAACAATAATTTTGGAGAGTCCGAACAACATAGGGTCCAATTACTGTGACTGGGAATCTCCTAAATCCTATGCCATAACGCCAATGACCAAATCTCATAGCTTCTCCATGAATGTTTGGTTCTTTTCTATCTAGCTTCTGTCTTGTCATATGTAGGTCATCTACTGGTGTGTTTAACTTCTGGTCTTGGGTTTTTTACTTTTAGTTTCTAGTTCTTTCAACTCACCTAAGTAGCTAGTAAGTCTAGTAATCAAGGGTATGACCTTGTTTGTCAATGAAGTAGTGGAGAGACATGGGTCTCAAGTTCATATTCTAATTCACCACGTACATGTGCTGGTGGGAGATAACAAGTATCTAGTGAAATTAGTTAAGGTGAGTGCAAACTGCTTTAGATCCTTCGATCATAAAAATTAATGATTAAGTGGTAAGGAATATACTCTTACCACTTGCGTGACGCGAATTATCAAAGAACATTTTGTTCTCTTTTATTCTTTATTTCTATGGTACTTTAAGGAAGTGAAATACAAATTTCCAAGTACAACGTACATGCAAAGGTCAAAACTTTTTCACAAAGTATATATATAATTGTTTCCACGTTTTTGGAACTCAGTCTACATTGGAAACGCTAAGCAATTTACTTAATACCGACTACTTTTTTATCAGCCATAATTTCGATGCTAGAGCAACAACGAAGTTGGAAAAAATTTCAGTGTATTCTATTTTAAAACTTTAAGAAAGTTCTATCGAAATCTCAAGAGCACACGTTAAACTATGCTAATAATGATTTTAATACATTTCAATACACGTCTTTTATGTGATGAGAATATTTTTATTACTCAATATATAAAATTGAAAGGGATGCAAATTGGACTTTTATCGTGTTCTACATATTGCCAAAGTAGAAGAACTATTCAATTGGTTGAGTTCACTTTTCAACTTTTTCGGGTTTTTCTAACCAACATATATTATCAAATTGGATAATGATCAATTTTTACTTTCAGTCCATTTGAAGATATAGCACCTTGGGCCACGATTACATAGTTAGAAAATTGCTCACGATAATTTTACAATCGGCTCAGAATAATTTTATAAGTGAAAATAATATTATTTTTGTTTTCATAAGCTAGATAAAACTGTTTTTGATCATAAATTCTCAAATGAAAATGAAGATATCAGAGTAGGGATTATTAAGAAAATATGACATTAAAAAGCAAGTTAAAGGAATAACTGAAGCAACATATAGTAACACATTAAGGAGTGTACAAAAATAATGTGTACCAAAATAATACTGTTAGAAGGAGAAGAGGTGAGGTGGGCTCCTATACAATTAACCCTCCATTCTAATTCTTGTTCTTTATTTTTTTTTTAATCTAAGGTCTTGTGTTTAGTATGTTTAAGCTATGTCATGTACGATCTAATTATTATCTTTCCCGAATTCTTCTTTGACCTACATCTACAGCTCCTAACTACTGCTATATCAAACTCTCACTTTTTTTACTGGCATATCTTCATATCTCATATCTTCACGTGTGCGACTATATCTCAACCTCGTTTTCCTCATTTGTTCCATATAATTTTTTACGAATAGTGACTTTTCTACTATGCGTACAATCTATCCAAACATCTACATCTCCGTTATCTTTATTTTTTTAACGTAAATATTCTTGACTAGCCAACTCTCTACGCTATATAATAATGTTGATTTAACCACCATTTTATTGGGCAAACCTTTAAGCCTATTATATATATTTTTAAAATATAGTAAATTATAAGTCTTCGTCCTGATATTAATTAATTGGTAGAATTTTTCTTTTCCAAACAATTTGTTGAGTTCACTTTTATCTTTTTTTTTAAACAATTCTAATTTGGTTGGAATTATTGGGTCGGCTAAGTGGGGTCTCATCACAAATAATGGCTTATAAAATTTACTTCTCTTTCGACAAATATTTATTGCACTGTCACTTTAATTAATAACTGAAAATTGACAAAACCATAGGCCATATAGCCTTGTTGAAGTCAATAAAATGGGACTGCCAAAAATTGGTGGAAAAAAAATATATCAATTCCCTAAAAACGTATTGTCAAATTAAACAAGTCCAATGATTAATAACGTGGCACTTGCTAAATAAATCTTTTACCTGCTACGTACATTATTCGTTTGGAATATAACCAATATACACTTTTCTCCAT